GGCGAAAAGGGCTAGGAAGAAGGAGTGAAGAAGACAAGAGTGACGGGGAGACAGAAAAAAGAGGATACTAAGGAGGATGCGGGGAAGCATCTGCATAGGATGAAAGCGCGCCCACGGCTGGGAGCACAAAGCTAAGGGGGGGCGGGTCCACTTTAGAGGGAGAGAGAAGGACGCCTGTCGTCCAAGAGGGAGGGAGACGAGCCACCCCCCCCCCCCCTTCCTCCTCCCCGACCGCGCCGGCCGCTCGCCCGGCAGGACGTCGCCTTTGCCGAGTCGCGCATCCGCGGCGAGACGATCGCCGCGGAGGACATCCTGCACGACATGGGCGCCATCTCCGTCATGTCGTCCGACTCGCAGGCGATGGGCCGCGTCGGCGAGGTGGTCTGCCGGACTTGGCAGACGGCCGACAAGATGAAGGCGCAGCGCGGGCCGCTGCCGGACGAGACGTCGGCGGGCGCGGACAACGCGCGGATCAAGCGGTACATTGCAAAGTACACGATCAACCCCGCCCTCGCCCACGGGATGGCGCACGCCGTCGGCTCGGTGCAGCCGGGCATGCTCGCCGACCTTGTAGTGTGGAAGCCGGCGCTGTTTGGCGCAAAGCCCGAGATGGTCATCAAGGGCGGCACCATCGCGTGGGCGCGCGCCGCACACGCTACCCTGCACCCGCGCCCGGCCCCTCCGGCGGCGCACTCCGACTCCCGACGGGCCGGGCCGGAGTCCCCCTGTAGGCGCAGATGGGCGACCCGAACGCCTCCATCCCGACGCCGCAGCCCGTCGTGATGCGGCCGATGTTTGGCGCGCAGCCCGGCGCCGTCGGCGGCACCTCGCTCGCCTTCGTATCGGGCGCGGCGCACGCGGCGGGCGTCGGCGCGCGATACGGGCTGAGCAAGTCTACCGAGCCGGTCAAGGGCACGCGTTCCGTCTCCAAGGCGGACATGGTCCACAACTCGGCCATGCCCAAGATCACCGTCTGCCCAGAGACGTTCGAGGTGACTGCGGACGGCGCGCCGCTCGTGTGTGAGCCGGCGACGAAGGTGCCGCTCGCGCGCAAGTTCTTCCTCTTCTAGACTTGGGCGACGGGCCAGCCGTGATCCACGCATGCCCGCATCTGCAGCACGCGGCGTCGGGAGCTGGCGCAGAGAAAGCCTTAGACAGCTTCGAGCTTGAGCTGCGCATGGCTGCGAGAAGACGAGACTGTACCTTGCATGCGTGAGTCCGGAGCGCGCGGTAGTCGCGACACCCCACTTATTAGCGCTGCCGCACACAGTGTGTCAGCCCAGCCCCAAAGCACCGTCACACTAGAACGCGCCGCGCGTACCCACCACCCAGCTAGAGGGGGCGGGACGTGCCGTCTACCTCTATCTAAAAACAATCAGTCACCAAACACTCTATCTCGCTCTAAAACTCTCTCGTGTCTGTATGTCACTGTATCTCTCGATCTAGATCGCGTGTGATGCTCGAGGCGCGTGATGCCGCGTACTCCCCACACCGCGGAGCGCGGTGACACCGATCGGATGGGCATGGGGCCCCAACAACACACATGTGCGCGATATCCCCGATATTCCCGCATCCCGGTACCCGGAATATCTCGGCGATTGTCAATGCGACATTACTGGTACATGCGTCATCGCGCGTGTGTGAATGGAGCGGTCGGGGTATTCATTTCGTTTCTTGTTGTAGATAACGGCGTGAAACTCAGCAGTAGACAACAGCATTCAACACGCACAGGTCAGCACTTTGACTTTCTCGAGGCGCCCGCGCACACACTCACAGTGGCACATTCAACGAAGTCGAAGTCGGTCCCGCGGGACTTCTAGTCCTCGCACACAAAAGACGACACGGGAAAGAATATCGCGCGATTGTGGGGGCAAACGCTCGGCAGGGGGCCGCACCGCGGCGCGCGCGCCCTGCGCCAGCACACGCCGTTGCTTGCGCTGCGGCCAAGCTCAGAATCGCTCGTCCGCGAGCGTGCAGATGTCGGCCGACTCGAGCGGCAGGAAGTACGGCGCGAGCTCGCCCATCGGGCTGCTGCCGGAGATGACGCGCTGCGTGGCGGGCGCGGTGCGCACGCGGTCGAACCAGGCGGCGAGCTCCTCGTACGACGCGAACAGGTTCCGCTCGATGAGCTGCAGCTGGTAGAGCACCGCCCACAGGTGCAGCTCCCCGGCGAGCGGCGTGGTGGTCGGCGGCGGCTGGAAGGAGCCTCCGCGGCAGAGACGGGCGAGGCGGCCAATGTGCGGCGGCAGCAGCGTCGCCCAGAAGCGAGCATACTCGGCGGCGGTCCCCTTGGCGGTGTGCACCCCGCTCTGCGGGTCGGAGAGCCGCGCGTGCGGCGTGGGGAGGTGTCTGGCCGCGAGGCCGAGAAGCTCCTCCCCCTCCGCCAGCAGCTGCTGCGAGAGGCCAAACGCCTCGGCGGAGCCGCCCTCGAGGCCGCTCACCTACGGGCACGCGTCGAGTGTCGGGGACGCGTCCGGAGTGCGCGCGGCCCCGGCCCTCCGTGCGGGGTGCGGGGGCGCCTTGCCAATGTAGTTGACAATCGCCGCCGGCAGCGCGATCTGGACGCCGCTCTCGTCGCCCGCGCGCGCAAAGGGCGAAGTGGCCCACCCCGACTCGCCCGGCACCGTGAGGAGCGGCAGCTGCCCGAGCGGGGCGGCCCGCTCCACCGACGGCCAGTCCGCCACCGGGTCGAAGTGCAGCGACGCGTTGCCCGCCCAGCGCAGGCCAGAGTGCTCCGCCGCCAGCGCCGGGCCGAGGCCCTTGGCGAGGAAGGGCGCGGAGCGGATCTCGAACTGGGCGGTGCCGTCGGAGGCCGGCGGGCCCACCGTGCGTTGGCGCTGGTGCAGCGGCGACGCGCTCCACGACCCGCTCGCGCGACTCGCCTGCGTCGACATCTGGCCGAGCGCGGTTGCGATCGGCGCCTTGCAGCGGTTGCAGTGCGTCTTGTCTGCAAAGTTGTGGTTGGCGCAGTGGCGGCAGAGCCAGTCGCCCGGCCGCACCTCGGCGACGCCGCCGCCGCCGCCGCCAACCCCACCGCCCGCGCCGCCCGCGCCGGCGATGCCGATGAGCGGGATCGAGGCCGGGCGCGGGCTGGAGCACTTGTTGCAGACAATCTTGTCCTTGAAGTTGTGGTTGGAGCACGCGGGGCAGAGCCAGTCGCCCACCCGCATCCCGGTCGAGGCGATGAAGACGTCCTTGGGCACCTGCGGCGGGGTGGCGGCGGCGGTCTAAGTGGCGGCGGCGGCGGCGGCGGGCGGCGGAAGGTGGGCGGAGCGGCGGCGGACTGGGAGTGGGGCCAGCCCGCGCCTTGCACCGGTTGCACGCCAGCTTGTCGGCGTAGTTGTGATTGTTGCAGGCGCGGCACATCCAGTCGCCAGGCCTCGCATTGGGAGGGAGCCCGGGGCCGACGGCACGCGGGGACACAGCCCCGTACTGCGCGCCCGCCCGCGGCGGCGCCGGGATGTGCGCCTGCGCGTGCGCCGGCATGTGCAGCGCGTTCAACGCACCCGGCTGAGGCGGCCAGTGGCCGTACGGGTGCGGTTGCATAGCACCGAGTCGTCGAGGGGGCGCAGCTAGAGGGCTGGGTTCGGGCTCCAAGCCGTCGGGGCCCCCCGGGTCTAGCCCTTCGTCACAATGTGTTAATGGTTCGATCCTCCCCAGAGTCGAACTGGCAGCCACTCGCACCAAGGAGGCGAGGTGTGGCTACGTGACCCAGAAAAGGCCAGAGTCGGGAGCAACCCTCGAGGTGGGTCGCTCATATACTCAACACAATGCCAACCACCGCGCGCGGCCGTCGACCGGCAAGCACACGCCTCCACTCGGACACACTGATCACTGTTCCGAGGGCAAGGGAGAGGGGTAGTGTTGATGGTTCGATCCTCCCCAGAGTCGAACTGGCAGCCACTCGCACCAAGGAGGCGAGGTGTGGCTACGTGACCCAGAAAAGGTAGTGGCTGCCAGTTCGAGACTGGGGCCGATCGAACTTGAGTTGTTCGGAGGAGGAATCCGGCCAGCACGGGTACAAAGAGGGGTACCCGGAGAATCCCCAGCTGCGGAAACGTAGTGTCGCTCAAGAGGTGCGATACTGCGGGGGAGTGTAAGGTGCCTATATGGGCTTCCAGTATCGGACCTTCAAGACATGCGCTTTTGGCCGGTGGCCTCCTCGGACATGGTACCTCCGGTGAGATCTCCCAGGTCGACGGCGGTCTGCGAAGATTTGAGTCCCTTCGTGTGTGAGCTACGAAAAAGATCGAAAATAGTGCCCAAGGTAACCCGGGGGAACTCGCGTCCCGGAACCTCTGCCCTACCTCGAAACACGGCGGTATCGGATATACAGCAGCAACCTCGTGCTGTGTCGTGGGGGCGTGTTGAGTATATGAGCGACCCACCGCTCGACCCACCGCGAGGGTTGCTCCCGACTCTGGCCTTTTCTGGGTCTTGAAGGTCCGATACTGGAAGCCCATATACAGGCACCTTCACAGGTAGGCTCCTAGCCCGAGAGGGGAGCTTCCGAGAGCGAGACCCACTACAAGACCACGCACGCATCATCCCGCGGCCTGGCGGTCGGCGGGATTGCAACCAGTCTTCGCGTGCCGCCTGTCGTTCGACTCGGGCGCCTTGTGCGTCGGGGTGGCGAGTGCAGGGGACGCGGCTCTGAGCGCCCAGCGACGCGTGTCGGATGGAGTCCGGCCGCGGGTGTCTAGGGAAGTTCGCTCAGGATGTGTGGCAGCCACGTTGGCTGAGTGTCTTGTCTTGTGGTTCTGTGTGTCGTGTGTCGCTCCTGTGTGACCGTCACCGCCCGTCCCGCGTCCACCCATACCGCGTTCGGTGTCCCAGTCGTTGGTCGGACTGTGTTTCGCCTTCCCATCAATCATCAATCAGGGGGTCAAAGCCTGCCGCTTGCTGCACTGGGGCGCAGACGCGCGGGGGAGGCTGCCTGGTCAGCCTGACAGCCTCCCCCGATGCTTCCGCCGCCGCCCCGATGTAGTCCCCACCGACGCTCTGTCGTGGGATCGCTTGTCATGAGAGATTTTTAGCAATACCAAACAACTGTTGTTTGTTCTTGTCATGTGAGAGGGTGCGAAAGAAACAAAGAAAGAAAACAGACAACCCAAGGGAGGGATGGCTGCGTTGTTGCGGATCTGGTGCTCGTGGAGACTTTGTTTGGGTGGCATTGCGCCGCCCACCAAGCATTCCCCCACGACCACGTGTTCGCCAAGGAAGCGGTGGGCACCAAACCACGGACCGGACGGACGGTGTATGGGACGGCGTCGGCGAGCGCCTCCTCCTTTGTCGTCCACCACACGCAGCAGATCTCCATGCACCATGGCGGCGGCGGCGGCGGCTGGAGGGAGCAGGAGGGGTGTAGCGGATGTAGAGTGCCTGTCTACATCTCTACAGCTCTACAGCGCTCTACATACACTCTACATCCTCTACACCCTCCCTCAGGGTGGCGGGCGACGCCGACAACATCAACAACCAGGCGCGCAAGATGCGTACCAACTACCTGGCTCAACTCCCCCGAGCGGGCCACAACTGGGTCAACGACGTCAAGAACAAGCAAGCGGCAAACGGCCTCTTGCCCTCGGCCCCAGTGCGCAGTGGGGGGTGCCCGCGCCGCCTAGCTCTGCGGACGGGCGGGCCTCTCCACCCTTCACGTACGGATCATGTAGTCCTCACACTCGCTGTCGTGTGGGATCGCTTGTCATGTGAGACCGCGTTGTGTTCTTGTTTGGTATCGCTTTGTCTTGAGAGAGAGATTTTTAGCAATACCAAACAAGTTTTGTTTTTGTCTTACCGCGACATCGACAGTATAAAAGTAGCGGGACGGAGGCGCACTTGGAGCGCACTTGGAGTGCAGTCATCAGCCTCACATCCAGGGCCGGGGAGCTAAGAAGCGCACCCAGCGGGCCGGATGATCGGGATCGGGTTGCGGGCAAGAGAGCCCTAGCCCCGGGGGTGCGCGTTCGCAGGGAAAGGGCCTTAAAGTAAACACGGGTCTCCGAGGGTTAGCCCCGCGTACCGGGTTTCCCCTTAACTGCAGGACGCCCCCTCTACTCGGAGCTAATGAACACCACACTGCACGCCCCACACCACCACTCTACACTCACTTGCGTCGGCGTTTGAGTAGACCCCCCCGCCTGAGGGCTCACCCCTCGCCTTCCCAGGGTCTCAACCCTCCTTGATTCGCTCTCTTGCTCGTCTCCCGAGCGTTATGCGACGACCGGTATGGCTATGGTCGTTTCCCTCGTTGTTGGTGTCGCTTTCTCCGCTGCCGTCCTTCGTCTCCGCCAGCTTCTCCCGGCTCCACCGCTTCCGAGGGCGTCGACGGCCCGGCCGAGGTCTCCCCGGGCGAGGACGGCGGCATTGGGTCGTGTCGCCTCCCCTCCCAGGGAGGACGGGCCCGTTCTCCCTGGTCGGCGAGTCGCGCTCGCACCCGCGGCCTCTCTATCGTCCTCGGCTCGCCAGGTACATACTTACGCAACACAAGGTCACGCACCGACTGCAACCCCGAGGCGAAGGGCGTATGCACATCCCACAGGTCGAGCCACTCTGAGTGGCTCCGACAGGCAAAAAAATCTCTTTCTCTCCGACAGGCACGAGAGAGAGAGAAGATCTCAGGCACGCACACGGTCCACTCAGAGTGGACCATGCTATCGTGCACACTGCTCCCACACGTTAGGAAACCACTTCCTACTAATGTGGGCCCGGCTCTCCCGGGGGCTGGCCCATATCTCAAGCGATTCGGCATGCATCCGACCACCGGGCGTTTCTCTTTCTGTGGTTCACGCTCAAACACGATGGCAATGGAGGCGGAAGCGGAGCCCGTCGTCGACGACGGCTGGGAGCAGGTCAAGGAGAACGCGCAGCCGCTCCGCCGCGGTCGGAAGGCCAAGGCGCTGGGCGAGATCGCGGTGGCCGACCGAGCCGCCTCCGACGCGCGCGAGGCGCGGCGCCAGCAGTGGGTCGAGGCGCTCAGGCGGGCAGCCGACGGGGCGGACCCGCTGGCGACGTGGGTCGGCTACATCCGGTGGACGCAGGAGGCGTACCCGACCGGCGGCAAGGAGGCCGGGCTGATGCAGCTGCTCGAGGACTGCGCGTACGGCCTCAAGGACGACTCACGCTACACCGACGACGCGCGGTACCTGCGCGTGTGGATCCAGTACGCCGACTGCGTGCGCGACCCGGAGCAGATCTTCGACTACCTGTACGACCGGCACATCGGCCAGAAATTCGCCCTCTTCTGGGAGGCCTGGGCCTCCGTCCTCGAGACGAAGCGCAAGTACCCCGCCGCCGACAAGGCGTATGAGCGCGGCCTGCTGCTCAAGGCGGCGCCGCTCGACCGGCTGCAGCGCGCGCACCTCAAGTTCCAGCACCGGCAGGTGCAGCTGGTGATGAAGGGCGGGCCGCCCGGCGAGAGCGCCCCCGAGGCCGACGCCGCCCCCGCCGGCCGCGAGCGGCGCGCGCTCAACCGGCTCACGAGGAAGGAGGGCGGATCGAGCCGCAGGCCAACGAGCCAGCGGCCGGCCGCGCCGCTCAAGCCCAGCGGCGCGCCGGGGGCGGGCGGCGCAGCGAACGGCTCGTCGGGCGGCTCGTCGGGCACCATCGGCGGCAACTTCACCATCTTCGACGACGACGCCGCGCGCGCCGATGCGGAGGGCGACGAGGAGGGCGCGAGCCGCGCGGGCGCGTGGGAGGCGGGCACGATGACGCAGCAGGCGAAGGAGAACAGCGCGGCGGCGACGGCGTGGGACGGGGTCACCCTGCCGCAGCGCAAGCCCGCCGGCGCGCCGCAGGGCCCCGCCGAGCCGGAGGGTTGCCCCTTCTCCATCCACGTCGACGACGGCTGCGCCCCCGAGCCGTCCGGCGGCGAACGCGGCTTAGACGCGCGGCCGGCCGGTGCGGGGAGCAGCGTGCGGCTGCGGCTCGACGGGCCTGCGCGGTACGAGCGCGCGCGGGAGGAGGCGCTGCACAGCAACCCGCTCTCGCGCTTCACGGACGGGCGGGGAGGGGGAGGCGCGGCCGCCACGCCGCCGCTGCAGCCCGGCCGCGGCGGTGCGGGCGGCGCGGCGGCGCGAGGCGGCGCGTCCGGCGCCGCAGCGGCCGCGCCTGCGGGGAAGGGCTCGGAGGCGCTCGGCTACGCCCCCGAGCTGCTGCTGCACTCCGGCGAGGAGGTCTGCTTCGAGGAGGTGAGGGAGCGGGTGCGGCACTCGGCCGCAGCGCTGCGCGCCGCCACCGAGCGAGCCTCTGCCGAGGAGGAGCGGCTGCGCGAGGAGGGGGCGGCGAGGGAGGCGGCGGAGGCGGCACGGGAAGCGGCGGAGGCAGAGGCGGCGGCACGGGAGGCAGAGGCGGTGGCACGGGAGGCAGAGGCGGTGGCACGGGAGGCGGAGGCGGCACGGGAGGCAGAGGCGGCGGCACGGGAGGCAGAGGCGGCACGGGAGGCAGAGGCGGCGCGGGCGGAGCAGGCGCGGGCGGCGGAGGAGGCGAGGCTCCGCGCAGAGGCGGCGGCCGCCGCGAGCGCAGCGGCCGAGGAGGCGGAGCGCGCTGCTGCCGAGGCGGAGCGCGAGGAGGCGCGGAAGAATGCGAGCGACCCGAACGCGCGCGCGTGTGGTGGTCACGGGCTGTACGAGGACGCGGATGGCCTGACAGTGCGGCTCGCCTCGGCGCCCACCGACGACGGGCTGACCATCAACACCAAGGCTGCACTCGAGATGCTGATGCCGTCCTTCCGCGACGACGACGACGAGCCGGAGCAGGACCTCCAAGAGCCGCCGGCGCGAGCGCTCTACAGCACCTCCCTCTACAGCACCTCCTCTCGTGGCCAGGGCGGGATGAAGCCGGCCGGGATGATGACTCCACTCCCGCACACGAGCGGCGCGCCGCTCGCCCCGCGCTCGTCGGTGCCGCACGACACCCCGAGGCGAGCCGAGCCGGCCCGGGCGCAAGAGGGCACGCCCGGAGCCTGGCTCGGAGACACGCCTCGGCCGCAGCCCGGCGCCGCCGGGCTGCGGCCAGCCGCCGCCAAGCAGGCCTCGTCGCTGCGCCCGCCCACGCGACTGGCCTTGGACTCGCCGCTCCCGCGAGGCGGCGCGACACAGGCCGCGGCGTCGGGCCACCCACTCGCCGCTCCTCCGCCCTCAGCAGTGCCCGCCGCTGCGCCACCCCGCGACCTGATGGGCGAGGACATGCCGGCCGACACTAAGGCAGCCCTCGCCAAGCTAGACGACGGCCTGCTCAACGGGCAGGGCGCGCCCGGTGAAGAGACGGCCACGAACCCCCCGCCGTCCGCGAGCGGCTTCGGCATCTTCTGCGACGATGCGCCGCCCGCGCCGCCCGCGCCGCCCTCGCCGGCCCCTGCCGCTTCGTTCGGCATCTTCTGCGACGACGCGCCAGCTGCGCAGCCCGCGCCGGCCTCGCCGGCCGCTGCCGCTTCGTTCGGCATCTTCTGCGACGACGCGCCAGCTGCGCCGCCCGTTGCCGCAGCGTCGTCGACTTCGGCCAGCGCGCCATTCGCTGTCTTTGGAGACGCCACCGAGGACATGACCATTAACACCGCTGCCGCCATCGCCTCGTTTGACGACGCCGAGAACTCGGTCGCGCCTGCATGGGGGGGCAGCGCCCGGAAAGCCTTCGCCTTTGAGGTGCATCCCGGCGTGTACCACGACGGCAGCAGCGAGCCTCCGCCCGAGGAGGACATCACGTTTCAGCGCTCGGCCGCCATCGCCGCCTTCACCGACGCCGAGAACGATGCCGGCGCCGAGGCGGTTGCGCGCGCGGTCGCTGCGCGTGAAGCTGCGCTCGCCGCAACGGCAGCTGTGTCGGGCCGGATCGTCGTCTCTAGCCGCCTCCCCGACGGGGCCCCGCCCCCTCCGCCTCTAGCGGCGAGCAGCGGAGCGCGAGCACCACCCGACGCTTCCCCGACCCTTCGCCTCCGACAGCTGCAGGGCGGAGGGCTGCCAGGCGAGCTTGACGGCGAGGGCGGGTCGTTCCTCCTGGGGTGAACGTGTGGTGGCGCGGTGGAGCGATGGAGAGCAAGGCAACGCATACGCAAGACTGGCAGTTGCGCTTGCGGAGAGATTTTTCGTAGATTGAGACGTGGTGAGAGCTCGAGCGAGTCGCGTGGGCTTGTGGTGCGCAGCCGACCCTGTCGAGTCTAAAATAATAAAAGGAGAAGGTAAAGCCGTACAGAAGGAGTAGCCTGCAGGCAGCAGGGCCCAGGGGTGTGCTCTGTGCTTCCGTGTGCTGTTGTCCTGTCCACAAACTCCTGTGAAAAAGGGGGAGATAGGGAAATTTCATCATTCACTTAGGGGACCCCTAGGGTTCTGAGGGCCGGCTTTTTTTTTACCTTTTAAGAAACGAGGAGGTTTAGGGGCTTAACTTGCCATTTAAGAGATTGCAGGCAACGGGGGTCCCTCTTTTAAGAGACCGTTTTGCGTTTAAGAAAATCGGCCTCGCCGGCATGCGTCGCTGGGTTCCGCGCCGTTTTCTCCAATACTGCTGTTATTAGGCACAAACCCGCCTCTGAAGACACATCTGTAAGTCTGGTGCACTGGCAGGAGCCATACTCGCATAGGGGGCGCATGCTAGCTGACTGTAGCCAGCTTCCCGGCCTCCGGCGTCTACCTGGAGCCTCCCGGACCATCGACCTCGGGAGCTCTCCCGAACTGTTTAAGCGTTTAAGACCGTTTAAGGAATTGGCGGCCCAGCAGCTCTTAAAACTTGCCCGGGCAAGTTTTAAGCCGTTTAAGCCGCAGGCGCCCCAGGGCCCACCCTTTTAAGCCTAGGGGTCCCCTACCTAAGTGCTAAGATCATTCATGCATCACCGTACACCGACACGAGAGAGAGAGAGAGAGACGGAGAGTGTTAGCAATCGTGACAGAGACCGCTTCAGACGTGAGTCGTGAGAATCGACGGACCAACCCCACCAAACAAATCTCACAGTCATAGATCAGTATAAGCTATAACCACTCACACGCGGTTGTTGAGAGTTGTTTTGTGTTTGCACCAATCAATGACAATGGGCCCGGGCGCGCGCATTCTTGATTCTACTACTACGGCTTTACTACTATAATACTATAGAAAATTTTCTACCGACACCGTCCGTACTCTCTATCTACGAACGAACGAACGCCATCTCTCTCCCTCCCTCCCTCGTCCGCCCGCAACCCCGACCGATCCCTCACGAGTTGCCGGAGCGTCGCACTCTCTCTCTGAGTGGTAACAGCCTCGTACCCAGTGGAAACAGCCGCCCCTACGTCCTAGGGATCTCAGGGACAACCAAAACGAACCCCAACACGGGCAAGGAGATCACAGCGTGACTGAGTTGGTCTCTGCAATTCGCGCGGCAGGAACAGCCACACTCCCTCTTTCGACCCTCGCAGCCATGCCGCTTTTCAGCAAGAACAGCCCCGGCTCGCCGCTGATGCCGCCGCCCTCGAGGGAGTACATCGCAAAGGCGCGCGCGTCGCCGCCCAAGAAGCTCGCTCCTCTCGCTCTGCCGTCCGCGGACATCAGCGACGACGCGGCGAAGGTGCCTCGCGGCAAGATCGAGATGCAGCCTGCACTGCTGGCGGAGTTTGCCGGCCTGATCGATGCCATCGGTCCCGCCATCTGCCAGCTCCTGCCGGGCGAGGCCGGCCTCGCCAAGGGTCTCCAGCACATCTTCAAGGCCGTGGTGGACGCCGCGGGCGGCTCGCTCGAGGCCGTCGCCTGCCTGCTCAAGGAGCTGTCCACGGGGCACCTCTTCGACGGCATCAAGCATTTCCTGAGCAACATCGCGACGACGGTTGGCTGCACGCTCGACGAAGTCTACCAGGCCGTGCAGGCGCTGCTCGGCGGCGTGGAGGACCTGACCGGCTCGATCGGCAAGATTGTCGAGTGCATCCTCAAGAATGTCGGCGAGCTGCTCTCCGAGATCAAGAAGGGAGTTGTCGCGCTCCTCAAGTGCATCCTTCCGACCAAGCTCTTCGCCAGCATCGAGGCGCTCGTGGGCGGCATTCTCCGCGAGGTGTCCAGCCTCGTCGACCTGCGCTGCCTCTTTGAGAACATCGAGCACCTCCTGTGCACGGTCTTCTCGGCGGTGCGCTTTCTGCTTCAGAACGTGGCGTCGATCGTCTTTACCATCCTCTGCGACACGAAGAAGGTCGTGGATGGCGTCCTCGTTGCGACGGGCAAGGTTGTCAGCGACGCCATGGGCCTCGTCAAGGAGGTCCTGGGCGACGTCTTCCGCCTGGTCAGGCACGCCCTGTGCGAGGTCGCCATCTTCCTGCGGGGCCTCTTCGGCGGCGTCTCGGGCTTCCTCTGCCACCTCCTGCTCGACATCGAGCAGCTTCTCTGCTCCATCCTCGGCGGCCCGCACCACTGCCTCGGCGCCGTCGACAAGATTGGCTGCGCCATCGGCAAGGTGTTTCCGGCCATCGAGCAGAGCGCGCTGTGCCTCTTCGGCCACATCCAGCGCAAGGGCGTGGACAGCAAGGGCGCGCTCAAGCTCTGCCTGCACGAGGTCTCCGGCAACTTCCTCTGCGATCTCTTCACCGAGCTCAAGGGCTTCCTCGAGATGGTTGCCAAGGCCGTCGGCTGCACGCTGTCCGACGTCTTCGCGGCGGTCCGGATGATCCTGAACGGCGTCGCGTGCGAGACGAGCAAGATTGTGAGCA